TAATCAAGGGCCTCAGGACATGCAGTCCACAAGGGGAGGGGCTTATCTGCTGCTGGGGCACGCACACTCTGCAGCCGCTTCCAAAATCTGGAGGAAAAAACAGGCGAGCAAGAATAGAAAGGTGTTCTGGAAGGTTGGTGCCATGGTGGCTTACTGCCACTTGTCAAGAGGTGGCTACAGCAGAGCGGCCGAAACAGGCTCCACTGCCAGACAGGAACTGTTTTGAGTTCATTGTCTTTAGTTTCTGTTCATACACAGGTTTGTTGGGATTTTGTTTTGCTTTTGGTCATGGAGCTTGAACTCTGGGCCTGGGCGCTGTCCCTCAGCTCTTCAGCTTAAGGCAAGAGCTCTACTACTTTGAACCACAGCGCCACTTCTGGTTTTCTGGTGGTTTATTGGTCTCATGGCCTTTCCTGCCCAGGCTAGCTCTGAACCGCGATCCTCAGATCTCAACCTTCTGAGTAGCTAGGATGACAGGTGTGAGCCACCGGTGCCTGGCTTGTGGGAATTCTCTAAAGAATTTATTGGGAGAATGGAAATGACCTTGAAGCTGTTTCCTTATTTCTGTCCTAATGGATGTTCATTTATTTTTATTATTATTATTTTTTGTTTTGTTTTTGTTTTTTTGGGTCCGGTCATGGGGCCTGAACTCTGGGCCTGGGCGCTGTCCCTCAGCTCTTCAGCTCAAGGCTAGCGCTCTACCACCTGAGCCACAGCGCTACTTCCGGCTTTTTTCTTTTTGCTTATGTGGTGCTGAGGAATCGAACCCAGGGCCTCATGTATGCAAGGCAAGCGCTCTACCACTGAGCCACCTTCCCAGCCCTCAACTTTTTTCTTTCCTGGTTCTGGAGCTGGAACTCGGGGCCTTCGGTGCTGTCTAGAGCTTTTTGGCTCAAAGCTAATGCTCTACCACTTGAGCCACAGGTCTACTTCCAGCCTTTTGGTGGTTATTTGGAGATGAGTCTCCTGGACTTTCTTGCCCAGGCTGGTTTTGAACCACAATCCTCCGGTATCAGCCTTCTGAAGTTAGGATTACAGGCATGAGCCACTGGCACTGACCTGTTTCAACTTTTCTGATTTTAATGCCAAAATTGGCTTGTTCAGAAGAGAAATGTGCAGGACAATCACAGAGAATTGTGTGACTATGCAAGAAAGTCACTTATCATATTCCTCCAGAGTCTTGTCTGTCACGGAAACCTAATTTAGCTCTTCCATTTCAGATTATGAAAATTAAATTTCATCTTACAAAGATTAAGGAAAAACAAAATGATGTCTGGTACTGAATAAATGCACTGTTATACCCTCATTTGTCAAAGCCTTGTCATTTTGATAGATCTCCAATATTATTCTAATTGGCTTTATGGAATTCAGCATCTTCTATAAAATGTATCAATCATTTCATTTTGCAAAAGGAAAGTTTTGTATTTTCCTTGCACTGTTTATTTAATTACTGACTCACTAAGACTTTCTAAGCAGGAGGAGAGAAAGACATTGTACTAAATGCTTAAATGACTGATGTATTCATATTGTCATGTGGTTTCAACTTCTGCTCTTCTGCAATATGGCTGCAAGACTGTGGAGCCTGGGTCACAAGGGGTCTTTGTCATCTAGTCACACATTTCCTTTTTCATGGCTTTAATCGTGAGTAGCCTTAACTTTTCAGAGCATCTCTGAAAGGCCCTGCAATCAGCCTTTGTGGACAGAGGCCCCGCCCGCACGAGCAGCAGCCCATCACCACAGGAAGCACAGGAAGTGAACCCAAGCCATACCTTCCCCAGCGCCATCTCGCTCTCCATCACAGAAACCTGGTGAGGAAGAAGAGAACACTTCCATGAGCGGCCTTCGTTTTCACTCACTCTTGCTGATGTGAAATGCAATTTTAAGGGTTAAAGCAATTTTGACACATCCCAGTTCACTGAAGGTGCGTCGGCATTTATGCTGAACACAAATGTGGCTATTATGAGTCTGTGGTTGCTGCCTTTCTACTTTCCTTTAGAATGGTCTCAGTTGTGCATTTTCAGAGGGTCAGGAAGCAGGGGCACCCTCCCAGACTTGCCTTGGGTTTTCTTACTGACTCCACTCTGTTCTGAAAGAACAGCCTTCACCTTTTTTTTTCCTTTTTCCTTTTTTTCCCCCAAAGCTTGAGCATGAGCCTCTATTCAAGTCACAAATCTTTTTTTCTTTTTTTTTCCCTCTTTTTTTTTGCCAGTCCTGGGGCTTGAACTCAGGGCCTGAGCTCTGTCCCTGAGCGGTTGCTCAAGGCTACCATTTTACCACTTGAGCCACAGTATCACTTCCAGCTTTTTCTGTGTATGTGGTACTGAGGAATTGAATCCAGGGCTTCATGCACGCTAGGCGAGCACTCTACCACTAAGTCGCCTTTCCAGCCCCCAAAATGTGGATCTTGAATCTGTCTTTTGAATCCTTTGCCCTGGGGGAGGGAAGGTAACTGAGTCTGTGCCACTGCTCACACTTACTATGAGTGTGCAAAGGACAAGCCAAAGCTCCGTGATGGATGTGATTACACAAATTTCAATTACAGTCAAGTCACTTAAAGAAAATGCATCTGGAATCTAAGTTTTAAGGGTGCATGTGAAAACTACTCACAAAGTTTTTTTAAAAAGAATATGTCTTAGAATAATTTTTGGATGAACTTAGAAGACTGAACCCACAAAGTGTGCTGCAGATGACCAAGTACAGCACTTGCTATGCGGCTGAGCTAGAACCGGAAAATCGGGCTAAGAACGTAACAGCTCCCCATCTCCCCACAGCCGTCAACTACACCCAGTGAGTCTTCCGCACTGAATCAGGACAAAAATTTAAATCTAAGTCTTTAATTGTAGCACATTTACAGTTGAGATAAGTTTCTGGATAAGGTCAAGCTTTAAGTGACTCTGACTGGTCTATAGAACTTACATAAAACATTTAACAACCACTCATTCAGCAAATATGTTCCTGCATCAGCGCTGGTGGGTGGGTGGGGAGCTGTCAGTGATATAGACTGCAGGTAGGAAGCCGGCAATTCCGGATGGCAGGTAGAAGGTAGAACATGTTAGTGGTACGTACGGGCATAGACAATACTAAGAAGTCATAAATGAAGCACAGTCACAGAGACTGTTTCTCCTAGGCTCGCAGAGAGGATCTAAGGCAATGACTGAAACTTTACTTCAGTGCACAAGAAGACCTCTAGGCAAGCAGGGCACAATGCAGGTTCCTTTGACTGGGCCTCAAAGATGAGTCAGAAGATGTTAGAAACAAAGAATTGACGCCTCTAACGATCTGCTGTGGGAGACAGTCCTTGGCCCACTCTTTTTAGAAACTTAGACCACGCTCAGGCGTGCTTAGTCGTGATCTTACATGGTATTAAAAGGCTCTGCGGTCAGTACCATGAGGAGCAGAGGAAGAGAAGCTTCTCACTCAGCTTTTGGCCTACAGGGAAAGGGCAAGAACCTGACCGTTCTGATTACTAACACATGATTATCCTATTAAAAATAGAACACTTTTATGCAGGCAGTAATCTACTATGGTAGGTTGCAGCACTGTGTCACCACGAGGTTTCATGACTCAGGCAGTCTCTGAAGAGTCACCTGAGGGCTACATCATGAGCCCAAGAGGCGGCCAGCAGACTCCCAGGGAGTTGCCCATAGGGCTGCCTTGCATGTCACACTGAAGAGTCACCTGAGGGCTACATCATGAGCCTCCCAAGAGGCCAGCAGCCTCCCAGCCCGCAGGGCTGCCCTCCGTGTCATGCCGGAGCGGAAGGCAGACTCTGGACACTGGGAAGATGACCACACCACCAGCACTTCATGCCATGATCTCATGCAGCCCTCCCAGCAGCTCCACTAACCATGTTGGATTACACTGCTGGTTTCAGGCATGAGTCTTCCAAATGCCCAAGTCCCTCACAAGTCTGCAGTGGCACTGGGAGGGATTGAGACATGGGAGGGAAGGCCCCCATGCAAGTCCAGGAGGTGAAGTACAAGGACAGAGGAGGGCAGGGGAGGAAGAGAGGAGGGAAGAGGAGGGTATGTCTGGCAGGGCCAGGAAATACAACTAACAGTCGGGCTGTAGGCCAAAGCTGGGAGGTGTGGCAGACAGGCCATACCAAAAGCACCTGCCAGTGGTCTGGATGAGGAGCAGAATGGAAGGCTGGGGTGAGCAGCTTCTGGAGACACCGTTTTGCAGAGAGAGATGGACTAGACCTGGAGGCAGCATCCAGGCAGAAGTGCCAGATGGAAAACAACACAACAGGTCACGCAAGAACAAAGGAGGGCACTGGTAGCGAGGACAGAAAACAGGAGGCAGACATGAGACTCTGCAGGGGACACAAGGCCTGGACAGCGTCTCTCGTGTGGGTGAGGGGCAGGGGCGAGGAGTAAATGCAACTCTCAGGCATTTCATATACTAAAGTGGCCAGAGGATGGTAGCAGCAGTAACCAAATAGCTTATCATCAAAACAGTCAAGCTTGGATCTTTTACTACTAGATAAAAAAATACCAGAGGACACAGCTATAAATAAAAAGGAACAAGTTGTGACTGGATATTTAGAAATGGAGAAAATTAATTCGCACCAGCCCCTCAGGGACAGGACATGGAAGACCAAGGCCACATCTGTTTCAGGAAACTGCGCAGCCTCGTCACCAAAGGCTGACTTAACTAAGTGCATCAGAGACCATGCTCCTTCTAGAAGGCCCCATGCCTGGACATCTAAAGCAGCTCTCGGTGTGCTCTTGACTTGGAGTGGAGAAGGCGAGGAGTAGATACTCTCTCGCTTGGCTTTTTGCTCGTGGCTGGCACTTGTGGCTACCGCTTGAGCCACACTCTGGTCCAGCTCCACTCCCCCCCCCCCCCCCAATCATTGAAGAATCTTGAGGACCATTTTGCCTGGGTTGGCTTTGAACCTTGATCTTCAGACTTTAGCCTCCAGAGTAGGTAGGATTACGGGTGAACCATCGGCAACTGACTGAAGGGGAGATCCTCAATCCAAGTATCCTAGCACACCCCTTCAGAAATGCAGCCTTTCTAACTGGGTCTGCCAACCGTCCCGGCAGCGTGCCTTTGGCCTTCTGTAGGCCCAAGACGCTGTGCCAGGCATCAGAGTCAGCAACAGGGTCATCTGCACCTCCAGCATTGGCCTGAATGCTGAAGGTTAAATCTTACTGCCGGCTGAAAGGTCACTGCAGTAGAAAGCACGTCCCATTCCCCAAAGGGCAAAATATCAGTAGTAGCACCTACCATGTAGGTGTAAAGACAAGGCGCAATCTCTGCCCTTCCCCTAACCGCCCTGAGGGCGGGGGCAGCGTCAGCCCCTATAAGGAGACAGCACTACCTGCGAGCAGGCCAGGTGTCACAAAAAGGCCTTGAGCCTACCACACTGCACGTGTGCAAACCGGCGAGTCAGCTGCACAGGCCGTGAGGGAAATGGTTGGCACAGCTCTTCACAAAAGGGCTAAATCATAAAAGTCTTGTTGGTTGGATAAATGCTTATTTCTGTCATTTATAGTGGCTTATCATTTACGCCCAATTGTCATGCAATTCAATAACCATTATGAAAATGACTAGACATGTGTATTAAGTTAATGGCTTTATTTTCTGGGGACAGAACTCTGTTCATGACGCTGGGAAGGTGGCTCAGTGGTAGAGCGCTTGCCTTGCATGCCTGAGGCCCTGGGTTCCATTCCTCAGCACTACATACGCAGAAAAAGCCGGAAGTGGAGCTGTGGCTCAAGTGGTAGAGCGCTAGCTTTGAGCTGAGGAACTTAGGGACAGCACCCAGGCCCAGAGTTCAAGCCCCAAGACGGACCAAAAACAAAAAAGCAAAAAAAAAAACCCACCCAACTCTGTTCACGAATGTATCAGTTTACACTCATGGAGCCTGGCCCCAGCTCCTCACCACACTCAGAAAGAATCCCAGGAAAGGAAGGCTTACTGCCGCGCCCACTACACAGCCTCGTTCCGGCTTCAATTATATTTTCCCATCACTTTAAAATCTTTATTTGGTTGGTCCTATAAAAAGAAATACCTTTTTGTGAAGCTAGTTGATATTTTTAAAATCCAAAAGGAAAGAAAATGGAAAATAAAAAAAGAACTTTAATGGAGTACAGGGGAAAATATATAAAACAATTTAAAATAGCTCCTACCAGCAACTCTGGCTCCCCAGAAATAATTCCCATCCTTGGAGACTGGAACAACATTTAAACACACTGGCTTTCCCGTGTAAACACACCCTTATTTGGACGTGTTTCTGAGTTCGGTGATACTAGCGGGAGCAGGCGTGGTCCAGATGTCTGAGCCGGGCCGGCCTGCCCTCCTGCCCTCCCTCCCTCCCTCCCTCCCTCCCTCCCGCCTGCCCACCCGCAGGAAGCTCGCTCCTGACATCCCTCTCACAGCCGAGCCCTGCTGCACTGTTAACTCATCCTCACACCCACAGTCTCGCGGCTCCCGTCAGAGCCGTCAGAGGCGGCGACGTCAGCCTTTGGGTGATTGCCTCATTCGGCAATCTTTCTTTAATGACTTTCTTCTCCCCGCACACAAGCCTGCAGCACTTCCCTGAGTTCCCTAAGCCCCCTCTTGCAGCCTGCCGAGACAGAGACAGTGCGAGGCGGAGGCGGAGGCGCAGGTGCTCAGGACCCACGGCCAGCGGCCTGGCTCTCGGGCAGGAGCGCTGCGCTGGTGACAGCGGCTGCGAGTTCAGCCTTGGTTCACGCCTCTCCTGACTGACCGCCCTCACACCGGATCCGTGACCCAAGGCTAAGTTCAGTAGTCCCGCCAGCTCTGTCCTCTACTCCCCCGTGAGGAAACGAACCCTGGGCGCTGTCCCCACCCAAGCGGGCGACATGGTGGGAATGAACAGACTCTTCCCTGGACTGCAGTGACAGCCACACACAGCAGCCACCTAAGGAAGGAAGATGGGAAGCGCGTCTCTGGAAGGAACAACTAGCCTTTGCGTAGGCCAAAAAGCAAGAAAAAGAAATAGAAAAAGCCAGAAAGGCCGGTGTCTGGCCAAAGATGACTTGTCTCTACTGCTCCTCTCAGACCCGGCCTGCGTGTGTTGGGAGCTGTGTCTGAGTCAGCTTGGCCAGGGCGGGTCGGAGGTCAGCTCCCAAGGTTCTTGGAGCTCCGTCCACCGGAGCCACTGCCGCTGGCTCTGCTCGGCCTCGGCGCAGGCCCTGCTGTGGCCGCACTGTGGCGGCGCTAGTGAGAACAGGACCCTCAGAGGCAGAGCAGCGGAGAGAAGCATGTTTGCAAAGATGCAGGGAAGCGCTGCAGGAGCTTCAGCCCCTGCATGGAGGAGAGCTGGGGCTAGAATGGTGTGTGTGGGGGGGGGGGGGGGGGAGGAAGGTCATGGAGGCACTAGAAAAGGCAGACAGGAGCCGAGGCTCAGGGATCCAGAGGACGGCGGGGTAGGTCAGGGAGGACTTGACAGAGGCAGTGGTGGACAGGATCCTAAGGGGCACGTGATAACCTGGGGGGCTGGGAAAGACCTGGGAGCTATGGGAGTCCACCCTGGGCAGGGAGACTCCTCCTCCAGGCAGGCCTCCTGAAGGCTTTCATGAGCAGACCGTTCACCATGGGTCACCATGGGTCACCATGGGCACAGACGGCACCAGAGGACATGCGTCTGCCCCACCCACTCCTGCTCTCAACTGAGCAGCAAAACGGAAAAGTAGGGAGCAGCGGGGCTCTCTCCTCCTCTGTCCCTCTACCTCATCCTGCCCAGCTCTGCTCCACGGAGGCCCCACGCCAGTGCTGTGGACCACCGTGGGCACCGGCTGCATGGTGCAGTGCAGTGATAACACATGCCCAGGCCCACGGACCAAGCCCTTCCTTATCCACACCAAAGAGACCCTCGGAAAGCCCGAGGTTGGACTGGATGGGAAGCTATCCGGCTGGGAATACAGTCAGGCCACTGTAAACGTCCATGTGAAGGGCCACCAGCACCCAGGCGAATGCCGTGGGGAAGGAACTCGAGGGGAGGCCCGCCCACCCACAGAGGGAGACTTTGCCCTCAGGGAGAGGAGCATTTGTGCCGGAAGAGGCTCACCCACCTTCCTTGCTGCAGAAGCTCCGTGCCAGCAGACCCCAAACCGGAAGTGCATGCATCACATGAGCTTTTTTCTCTGGGTGCCCCCTCCCCGCTGGGCAGAGGGAGAAAGAGGAAGCTGTTAGCAGGGGCCTGGGTCTTACCCATGTACGGGGCAGGCCAGGTGGACTGGCCCCCTCCTCCGTAGGGGTCCTGGGGCTTGGTGCTCAGAGCACTCGTGTGAAGAGCAGAGTCAGAATTGGTCCTGAGGAGGGAGAGAGTCCAGTGAAAATCCATTGTTCCTTAGTGAAATCAGTACTCATTGTGGAGTACTTCCAACAGGAAAGAAGGTAGGAATGTTAACCTACAATCATCCATGGAATAAGGGGCAGACCTGCCTGCAGTGCCTTCTGTCAGTGACAGCTACAGCCAAGAGATTTTAGAGTCTGAATGTAGAGTTCTGTACTTGCTAGGCAGGGCCTCTACCACTTGGGCCATGCTCCCTAGTACCTTTTGCTTTCATTAGTTTTGAGATAGGATCTTGCACTTTTTGCCAAGGGGCCAGGATTTTTGTTGTTGTTGTTGGTCATGGAACTTGAGCTCTGGCCTGGGTGCTGTCTCCAAGCTCTTTTGCTCAAGGCTAGCACTCTACCACTTTGAGCCATAGCACCATTTCTGGTTTTCTGGTGGTTCATTGGAGATAAGAGTCTCATAGACTTTCTTGCCTGGGCTGCCTTTGAATCGCAATCCTCAGATCTCAGCCTCCTGAGTAGCTAGGACTACAGGCATGAGCTACCAGAGCCTAGCTAGCGCCAGGATTTTGATTCTCTTAACTATGACTCTTATGTAGTTGGGATGAATGATGTATACCACCATGCCTGGCTGTTAAAATGAGAGCTTACTAACTTTTTGACCAATCTCTGGCTCCCAAATAGCAGGGTCTGTCAGGGTAAGCCACTGGACCCATCTCTGAACTTGATTTCTAATATCAACAGATGAATGTCAATAGGTATACTCACATAAAGAAATGCTCTTTGAGGGTTTTGAAGTTTTTTTTTTAAGAATGTCAAGCAGTCCTAACACAAGAAGTTTGAGAAGCACTGATCAGTAGCAAATTTCTCAAACTCTCCCAGCTAGTTCTAGTTTCTCAACAGCCTCAGCTCCAGGAAGACATTTATCTATGTCATTTAAGGATCAAACTGTCATAAAAATGGCATGTGATTGGCTGGGAAGGTGGCTCAGTGGTAGAGCACTTGCCTTGCATGCGTGAGGCCCTGGGTTCGATTCTCAGGACCACAGAAGCAGAAAAATCTGAAAGTGGTGCTGTGGCTCAAGTGGCAGAGTGCTAGCCTTGAGCTGAAGAGCTGAGGGACAGCGCCCAGGCCTGGACAGTGCCCAGGCTCAGAGTTCAAGGCCCGTGACCAACCAAAAAAAAAAAAAAAAAGCATGTGAGGCAGCTGACAGCAATCATACCCATAACCCTCCAATCCTAGCTACATGAGAAGCAGGGAGTGGGAGGTTAGCAGTCTGAGGGCAAAAAAGTTCAAGAGACACATTCTCAACACACAGCTGGGTGCAGTGGTACACAACTGTCATCCCAAGCTCCGTGGGAGGTTAAGACTGGGAGGAATGCAGTTTCAGCCAGCCCAGACGGAGAAGTCTGTGAGACTCCATCGCAAAGGAGGGAGAGCTGAGCATGCTGATGCACACCTGTCATCTCAGAAACAACTAGAGGCCTAAAATAGGCAGACTGTGGTCCAGGCGTGGGCTAGCAAGAAGCAAGACCTTACCTCAAAAATAGTGAAACAGCAGGACTGTGGGTGGTCAGCATTAGCGGGGGAGACCAGCAGTGGGAAGCAGAGCTCAAACATCAGAACCACTAAGAAGGGCAGGTTAGTAAGTTCAAGTAGGCCTAGAACACTTCCCAGCTGAACAGCTCAGGTGACGTAAGCTGTAAGGTCTCAGAGAGAAGCGGCCAAGGGAAGAGCTGGACACGGCCGCAGGAAGAGCAAAGCCCTGGAAGCAGAGGAGCCCGTCACTGCCAGCTCTTCTCCAGAAACTCAAGAGAACGTCAATCGATTGGAAAAAATGTGAATGCAGACTATTGGGTCATGTTAAGGAACTGCTGTTAATTTTGTGCCATGTAATAATGACATTGCAGTTATATTTTTTGGTGCCCGTACTGAGGCTTGAACTCAAGGCCTGGGCACTGTCCCTTAGCTTTTTTGGTTGGTCATGAGGCTTGAACTCTTGGCCTGGGCGCTGTCCCTCAGCTCTTCAGCTCCAGGTGAGCACTCTACCACTTGAACCACAGTGCCACTTCTGTTTTTTTGGTGGTTTATTGGAGATTAAGAGTTTCATGGCCTTTCCTGCCCAGGCTGCCTTTGAACCATAATCCTCAGATCTCAGCCTCCTGAGTAGCTAGGATGACAGGTGTGAGCCACCAGTGCCAAGCTGTCCCTTAGCTTTTCACTCAAGGTTGGTGCTCTACCACTCGAGACATAGCTCCACTTCCAGCTTTTATGGTGGTTAACTGTAGACTCTCACATACTTTCCTTCCTGGGCTGGCTTTGAACTGAGCACAGGAGCCTCCTTTGTAGTTAGGATTACAGCTGTGAGCCTCTGGTGCATATTTGTGGTTATTTTTTTTTAAGGTTCTCACAAGCTTGTACTGTGGGAGATGTGGCCAAGGAGTGGGGTACAAGCTGAGGGGCAAAGAAGTGAGACTAGCAGGATGCCAGCGAAGCCTGAACGACAGCTTGAGACGGGCGCGAGGACTCTTACAACCTCCTTCCTCTGCGCAGTATTAGCACGGCTTTGTTGGTGAGACAGAGTCCCATCATGTAACCCATGATCCCTGCCTCAGCTTCCCCAGTACTGACATTACAGACATGCCACCAAGCCTGGGCTTGTTTTACTTTTTTAAAGTCCTAATGCCTTCACATACTAACTTAAGGGCCCTTGAGCAAGTTATTCCACCTCTTAAAATATCATGGCATGCTGAGCGCTGGTGGCTCACACCTGTAATCCTCACTACTCTGGAGGCTGAGATCTCAGGATTGCGGTTCAAAGCCAGCCCGGGCAGGAAAAGTCCTTGGGACTCTATATCCAATAAACCACTCGAAAACCAGAAGTGGCACTGTGGCTCAAGCCGTAGAGCACTCGCCTGGAGCTGAAGAGCTGAGGGACAGTGCCCAGGCCCAGAGTTCAAGCCCCATGACTGACATCATGGTACTGGCTGGTGTGGAGCACCGTCAGGACTGAAGAAGTGGCGGGTGGCACTCGCGCCGGGAGTGTGGGCCCTCTGATGCCTGCGAGCGCTCTGCTTCTCAGGTCAGCTACCCCATGAGAGGCACACTAGCCCCGCCGTTCAGGTAAGAAGGCTGAGGCGCTCCTGCGTGCTGTCCTCCTCACAACAAAAACCGCTTCATACAAACACAATGGATGTCAACAAACACGCTGGGAAGCCAGGGAATGGGTGCCCCAGTCTTAAAAATCTTTTAGGAAAGGAACAGCCCGGTACCTGTTAAGTGCCGACGTCAGCCTGAGTCCAGGGTGTTTTTCTTCTTTCCAAGGAGGCTGCTGCCTTGAAAAGCAGGACATGAAAGGGAGAGAGATTCAATCCACATGCGGGAAGGAGGGCCACGGCAGGTCTGAGAGCGGCTCCTGTGCTCAGTGACTGCAGAGCCCGGGGGAGCTCGCATGCCCATGCCGCCCCGTTTTGCTCATTTTCTCACTGGGGTGAAACAAGGCTGGACTGAGTGATCTCTCAGCGCCTGGGAGCTTGGACTCCAGGGCAACTTCTCCAAACTCATGGGACAGGATTAGCTGGCTGGACACATACAGGGCTAACATAGAGACGAATGGGCATCTCAGATCGGTCAGATCAAGCCCGGGCAGAAAGCCCTTACTGCCTGCTGCTGTCACTAACTGGGTGTGGGCTTGGGGGGCACGCTGCCACTCAGATGCGGATGGCCATGGAGGGGGACAGAATGGTTACCCAGACTGTAGAAATATTCATTACTGCTCTAGAAAGCATAAGACACTTTTTCTTGGACATAGATAAGACTAATTATCAGTTTTGAGAGCCACCTTTTCGCACTCAAAATGAAATCTTGGATTATTTATTCTGCAGATTCGAATCTGAGAATACAGGAGGATAGTTGATTAGGCCACTGTTCGTTTCCATCTTCCTTTTCTTTCTCAGAAAGAAAATAATCCATAGTATATTCTGTGCTAAGTAACTGATACTGGCCTGGAGAACAGAAGGAGCAAAAGCCCCTACTTTCTTTTTTTTTGCCAGTCCTGGGGCTTGAACTCTGGGCCTGGTCACTGTCCTTGAGCTTTTCTTTTCTTTCTTTTTTTGGTTGTGGGGCTTGAACTCTGGGCCTGGGCGCTGTCCCTCAACTCTTCAGCTCAAGGCTAGCACTCTACCACTTGAGCCAAACCACTTCCGGTTTTCTGATGGTTCATGGGAGATAAGGGTCTCATGGACTTTCTTGCCTGGGCTGGCTTTGAACCAAGATCCTCACATCTTAGTCTCCTGAGTAATTAGGATTATAATATAGCCACTGGTTATTATAATAGCCACTGGTACCTGGCACTTCTGGCTTTTTCTGCTTATCTGGTACTGAGGAATCAAACCCAGGGCTTCAGGCATGCTAGGCCAGCACTCTACCACTGAGCCACATTCCCAGCCCCACTAACTTCTTTTTGACATGCCCATTTCCAATGTCTCCTCCATCTGACTTGGAGATCTGAATGATCCATACAACAGACGCTGTGGCTTTTCAGTTACTTTTATAATCCATCACTCTGTCTAGGCTGGAGACAAAAATATTAGGATCCTAAATCAAATATTGCACAAATGATCATTTTTAGGAGTCGCTCATTCTTTTCAGGAACTTACTAATGCAGCCTAAGAAAAGAAACTTATTTACAGTTGGGCATTGGCTCATGTCTATAATCCCAGCTACTCAGGAGGCTCAGACTGGAGGACTGTGGTCCAAAGCCAGACTGAGCAGGTAAGTCTGTTGGACACTCTTATTGTGAATTAAGCACCCAAAAAAAGCCATAAGTGAAACTGTGGCTCAAGTGGTAGAGTGCTAGCCTTGAGGAAAAAAGCTCAGGAACAGCACACAGGCCCTGAGTTCAAGCCCCAGGATTGGCACCAAATAAAAACAACAAAAATTCTAGTCTAATAGTTTTCATATGGGTTCTATTTAAAGTATGAAGACCTAGAATTACTTATTTATTTATTTACTTGTTTATTTTTTGTCAGTCGTGGGGCCTGAACACTATCCCTCAGCTCTTCAGCTCAAGGCTAGAGCTCTACCACTTGAGCCTCAGCCCCACTTCCGGCTTTCTCTGCTTATGTGGGGCTGAGGAATCGAACCCAGGGCCTCATGCATGCAAGGCAAGCACTCTACCACTGAGCCACCTTCCCAGCCCCCTAGAATTAATCAATTTAGTTGTATACTTACATATAAGTCCATGATTATGCATGCAAAGATGTAAGTATAAAACAAGATTCTATTTTATGTTAATTAATACTCAAGGCAGATCAAGTGAAATCACCTAAAGAAAATAATCTTCTCCAGTTCTCAGTGAAGCTTGCTTACCTTGGCCAGCTCTCATCCAGAGCCTGGGAGGAGTAACCGGCTCCAGATGCACTACCATCCAAGTAGAAACTTTAGTAAAGGAAAGATATGGTGAATGGGAGGTTGAAGCAGATGCAGAGATTGGCTCTTACTGTTGTATCTGTACTGGCAGTCTTCCTCTTCTCAGTGCCTCTAGAACATGCTACGCCCCACCCCCACCCCCATCATCCAACCCGTCTTCCTCCCGTGATTCATGTGGCTGTGCCTTTTTTTTTCTTCTACTGCCTGTCCAGTAGCTTTTGTTTTCAAGGACTGCCTCCACTTCACCCTAACCTGGCCCCATCCTCTGCGGAAGGGCCTGACCCAGGGTACGGGCTCAGGCCCAGTTATTTCCAGTCATGCTACGTTGCCCCCATTAATAATGCTTGGTTCAGGGATGGGCTCATGACCCAAATAAGATCAAGGAAGGAGAGTGTCCCTAACGAGGTGACAAGTCCAGGCTATTGGAGTCTGAGCGGCTCCTGATGGAGAAAGCGTGTCTGCCTATGAAGTCGACAGAGAAGCAGCACCAGACACCAGAAACTCACTTCCCGTGACACAGCCAATTCAGTTCACTTTTCCTTGGGGGCTGAAGTGAGAGGACTGCAGGTTTGAAGTCTGACTTGACAACTTAGTGAGTCCCAGTCTCCAAATCTTAGAAGAAAGCACCGGGGACGTCTTTCGGCGGCAGTGCTTAGCTAGCCTGCACAGGGCCTCAGTTCAGCCCAGAGCCTGTGGTGTGTCAAGGTCTCACCAAGTCTGCCGTGCCGGGAGCAGGGCGGAGGAGGAGCGGTACGCCACACCCCTGCGCAGCTCAGCTGTCGGCATTCACTTATTTGCACCTGCGGGACCGTCTTCTGTTCGCAGTACTGGATTTTGAACTCTGAGCCGTATGCCTGATAGTACTCTACTATTTGAGCTATGGCCCCAGTTACCTTCTGTTATTTTTCAGGTAGGGTCTTGGTTTTGTCTAGATTCAGCCTTGGGCCACGATCTATGCCTGTGCCTGTCATGTAGCTGGAAAGGCAGGTGCTCACCACCATGCTTGGCTTGTTGAGTAAGATAGGGTCTTGCCTGAGCTGGTCCCAAACTTTGATTCTCTCCATTTCTGCCTCCCAAAGAGTTGGGATTATAGGCCATTGCTCCGGGCTCCCATAGGACTTTCTAAGTCATTTTTAGTCATTTTATTCTCCACTAAAAAGTCTCCAAGGGCCCTCCTCAGCCTGAAAAACACAATCAAACTTTATTGGCTCATTCACAGCACAGCACAGCACAGCTGTCTGCAAAGAGCTGTCTGCTCTCCAGCTGTCTGTCCTTCCCCTCCTAAATCCCCATGGTCAGTAAAGGAAACTCAATCCCTCAACAAGAGAATCCCAACGGAGACCTGAGGAACCTAGAGGAGCAGCTTCCCCTCCCCTCGGGAGGAAGGGGGGGGGGCAGCTCTTCTTCCTGTTGATGACAGGGTATCTGTTGGCAGTGTGTGAAGTTACCGAACCAGAGATGCTCAAAGCAAGTTCCGCCCCTTTGTGTGACTCGGCAGAGGGGCGAGCAGGGCTCTTTCCTTGGCTATCTTCACACCAGGCACACCAGGCAGAGATGTGGAAGCCCCTTCAGGAGGGAGCCCGTCTGTCCATTTTCTCCTCCATTCTGGAACTCTGTGTTCTGCCCAGGAACAGGTTATGGGCAGCCTGTGACCTTCTATGCAGCTGGCTGGTAAAGACGCCCCTGCTTAATGGAAACCAGCTGCCTGGATCCCAGGGTCAGATTTCATGCACAAAACTGGTCACGATTTGGTGCCTTCCTAATTCCTAAGCCCTGTTTTTACTGTCACTCTACTTTCTCTTGCATGTAACCTCTGTGTCCCTCTAGAATACATCTTAAAGTAGAGCTGGAAGGCATGAATAGGACCTAAGTATTTACACTTGTTTCCAAAGCAAATAGGTTGCTTGTGTCGAATTTTCAGAGCGTTTTCCCTTTAAAGTCTGAAGACCGTGCCTCTTTGACTCTTGAGATATGGGTATCCTGTGAATTTCTGTGATCACATGTTTTGGAAATCCTGGGCTACAGGTAGGTGTTTCTAGTTCTGCCCTGTAATCTCAACTACTTTAGAGGTGGGGTGGAGCACTGTGCTTCCAGGCTTCCTGAGACTCCATGTTAAACAGTGGCCAGGACCAGTGGCGTGTGCCTGCTCTCCCAGCCAGGGGGCCCGGGAAGCACACTGGCCAGCACCTGAGCAACATGCTCCTCCAAAAGGGAAGCAGGTAGGAGGCTCGCAGCCGAGGCTGGCCTTGGCGTAAAGCAAAGCCCTACCTCAAAGATAAGCAGTGGAAAAAGGGGCCGAAAGCATGGTTCAACTAAGTAGAGCTCTTGTCTAGCAAGGCGCTGAGATCAGGTTCCAGTACTGTAAAAAAAAAAAAAAAAAAAGTTTCATTGCAGAAATCCTCCAAGAAGCAGCAGACAGCACGGTGCCTTCGAGCTTACTATCTATAGGGCTGTTGGTGCTAGCAAACACTCAATTCCCTTAGGAAACTTCCTAAATATTGGTTTAGTTCCTTTCAAAAACCAGATCTCTTCTGTAAGATGGTGTCCTCTCTAAGAGTGTCCCCTTCTTTTTCACAGGTCTGGGAAAATACTTCATTTTCTGTCCATGTATAGAAATAGCTCAGAAACTGAACAAGATGGTGTTTGGGATACTGTGTCTGCTGCCCTCCAGAAGGAACAAGAACTACTGAAGGCGCAGGAGCTACTAAAAGCTGTGTGAGTGCCTGCTCTGCCCTCCCCTGCCAGGCCTCTCCCCTGTCCTGGCTGAGGAGCTAGGACAGCCCCCACAGGCCTCCCCCCCCCCCCCCGCCCGTGCTTGTGGGGCCAGCTGTGGCAGTGCTTGGTTTCTGCCTGTGGGAGCAATGCACGCCGACCACACACAGCCCCTGTCCTGGCCCTTTCTGCGCTCCGGCTGCCTACTGCAGAAGGAATCCCTGTGCCAGGGCTGAGCCTGTGGCTGCCCACTGTGGGAGGAGGCCGAGTGCTTGTAGAACAATGCTCATTTTGTGATCACTGTGACCCTGGGCCGAACCCTTCTCTAAGCCAGTCTGCCCATCCTAAAATAACATCCAGGCCAAGAAATAACTAAGTAAGAGAATTCTGAACACATCAATTTTAAGCAAATTCTTTTATAACCAATAGGGTGTACACCACGAAAGGAAAGGTCTCAGTCCTGTCCCTCCTGGGTCTGGATAAATTCACGCCTTCCATGTCCAACCCTCTCGCTCAGGCTCTGACTAGGAGCACGGTCACTGCGTCATTGGTGGGCACTCCTAGGCTACAGAACGTGCTTTGCATCAGCCGCTGTCCAGGCCCAGGAACCCAGTTAGGGGCTTAGCAGGAGACCACAGAGAGCTGCTCACGATTGGTCAGTCAGCTGTTGCTCTGGTAAACGGAAGAAACAGTGTTGGTTTGGTTTTTGCTTCTCCTACCCTTAGGCGCTGACAACTCTCACCAGACGACTCAGACCAGGCACCTAAAAAGCGCACAACGCTGTCTCCTCTCTGGGCCTCTGCACGGCCCTTCTCTCTGGGAGACATGCCTTTCCCGCGCTTGCTCTCTTACACATGCTCAAACCACTTTTCTTAACTGTCTTTTGCTCTTTGCTGAGACTCTAAGCTCCGGACAGTGGGTGCTACCTCTCACCCTTCACTTGGTCCCAAGTCTAGGACAGCGCCTGGCACAGGAAAGGGACGCCATAAATACCTGCTGAGTAACTCTCATTTCTTCTTCCCTCCAGGCCTCCTCCTCTCCTCAGGCCTGGCCCAGCTGTCCCTCCCAGCTCACTGGCGCCTGCAGCTCTGCCACACTGTGTGGTGGCGGCCTGCCGGCTGAGCTGCTGTTCCACAGACTCCATCGGCCTGAGGACAAGGGCTGAAGTACGTCAACGGTCAAGTTTATAAAGCGGCATCTGGCTACCAGTAGGTATTTCACAAATTATTTCCAGTGACTCTCCCCTTTCTCTTTTCTTCAATTCCTTCATATTCTATTCCTTTGGTTAATGAAGCTGCATATGTATTTACGTATTTAAACTATATTGCTTCAAAAAGTATCTGAGGTAGTCATATATGTGCAATAAAATGTCCAAAAAGAGGAAACTGTGAAAATAAGATATATTCTATTGGTTCTTTTTTTACTTTCTTTTCTGTCTGGTTTTTGAGACAAGGATCTGACTATGGAGCTCAGGCTGGCCCTGGAATTTTTTGGGGGGCAGGGGAAACAGTCCCAGAATCTGAACCTATGACGTTGCACATGACAGACAAGCCTTCTACCACTTGAGCCATGCTCCCAGCCTAGAATTTTTTTTGCAACTCCTGGGGCTTCAACTCAGAGCCTAGGCACTGCCCCTGAGCTTCTTTTGATCAAGACTAGCACTCTACCACTTGAGCCACAGCACCACTTCTGGCTTTTTCTGTTTATATCGTCCTGAGGAATTGAACCCAGGACTTCATGCATGCTAGGCAAGCACTCTACCATTGAGCTACCTTCCCAGCCCCAGAATTTATTTTATTTTTTTGGTTGGTTGTGGGGCCTGAACTCGGCCTAGGTGCTGTCCCTCAGCTCTTCAGCTCAAGGCTAGTGCTCTATTGCTTGAGCCACAGCGCCACTTCCGGTTTTCTAGTGGTTTATTGGAGATAAGAGTCACGGACTTTCCTGCCTAGGCTGGCTTTGAACCATGATCCTCAGATCTCAGACTCCTGAGTAGCTAAGATTACATGCATGAGCTACCAGTGTCTGGCTCAGAACTGTTATTAAAAAAGTGTGTGTGTGTGTGTGTGTGTGTGTGTGTGTGTGTGTGTCTCACTAGGGATGGAACCCAAGGCTTTGACTACAGCACTGTACTCCCAGCAAAGGAATCTCTTTTTCTGTGTGTTTGTGGTGTTGGTCCTTGGGAATGCAAGGCCAGTGTCTACTATGCAGCTACATTCTAGCTCCTGCATTTGAAAATCAAGCAAGAAAGTCTTCCGCTTGGACGTCACACCACGGAGATGAGACGACGTGCTGTGCAAGCGCCTTGCCCCTCCCGCCTCCCACCACCTCTGCACCCTGCCATGACACCGTCCACAGCCAGAGAGGCTCCTCAAAGAACCCTTCGCTTCACAGCCTCTGTGATGGCCACAGAACCAGAAAGCAGAGTGCTTTATGGAAGGTGGCGTGTCTGGGGCAGCGGGAGAATGTTCTAGAGTCATTATCCTTGCCTCCAAATAGATTAGGACCCAAAGGAGCTGGAGGGCAAGCACCGCCAGGGCGCCCACGCTCCTCCTGGAGTCTCTTGCCCATGGTCCTCATCACCCTGAAGCCGAAGCTGGGTGGGCAGACCGCAGGACCCAGGCTGGGCCATGGCTCTTGCAGACTGATGGTGGAATTCTGGACAAGTTGCTTTGATGCTGCTTTCTCGTGGGAAAATGGGGGTTAAAAAAGTAAAGGACTCTGAGTTCTGAGGACTGCATGACATACACTGCTCAGCGCAGCGCTGGCATGGGTTGGGTGCCTGGTAAACAGAGCGCCCTCCCCCACTTCCTGGTTTCTAGGCTTCTAAAGCCCATTCTACCATCACTGCCAGGAATTTAGCCTGGCGGGGCTCACGCCGCCTCGCTCCTTCCTCCAGCCCTGGCTCGCGTGCACAGAAGAGCAGTGAAAGCAGAGGCCGCAGGCCCGCGTGTCGGAGCCCGCGCAGACTTACGGCTACTTAGCAACACAGAGTCTGCTGTCAAGCGTGAGAATTGCCCAACATAGCAGCTTTTTATTTCAGTGGTCATTTGCAGAGTTTGAAACTCTTAAGTAGGAAACCATACGAGATTTCTTCTTTGTGTTCCAAAAGCAGGTCAGCAGGTCAACTGAAAGGCAGATAAACCCTGTCTGTCTTCACTTTTGCTAGGCAGACTGAATCCCTTTAACTTAATTCTACGTCAGGCTTGGCTGCCAATTTCTGAAGCGTATGGTAGGAAGGCCTTGCAAAGCACCTGGATTTCCTGCTGTTCCATTACACTTCATCAGCACCTCAGAGCACCTACAGTGCTCTTCCTAAATCTTGCTAGGAAGATGTTTCATCTATCTTTACTGCCTCAATGCAGATAAGATGAAATTTGGAAGCCTTGGAGAAATGTGAGGAGATAATCCCGAGAACCTTCCCAACATTTCACACCCCACGCTCTCCCTCCGCAGCGAAAGGATATCGGGCGCCCTGGCTTGTCCCCAGGCCTTCGGTGGAGGGGGTGGAAGCGGCTCCGAGCTGGCCTCTCCACCAGCCCGTGGTGCCGAGTCCCTCGAACAGTGTCAGCTTGATGAAATGACGGCTGTGGAGAAGAAGAAGAGTTGGCTTCTGATCACGGAGCTGACGCTCTCCCCCAAGAACAAGGTAACAGCCGAAGAGGGCGGGGGCTGCGCCACGGCAGCACTCTGCCTTAAGCTGAGGTAAAACAATGCAGCGCGTCCTGTTTTATAATTACAGAGTAAATTAAAAATAATTGATGGTGTGTGACTGTGAACGCGAAAAGAGTGATATGAAAGCTGGCACAGATGGGCTTTTTCTGAGGAGTTTATTGGAGATAAGAGTCTCGTAGACTTTTCTGCTGGGCTGACTTTGAGCCACCGGTGCCCAGCAACAATTTTATTTTCAATATTATGTACACATATGACTTGGAGAAGCATAAAATTAAATAATAATAAAGTAAATAAAAACATTAACAGTTCTGTTAAGCCCCGAGCCTGTATTTTTTTCTCAGATGAGCATTTTTTTTGGTCTTGACACCTATACTCTAATATTAATTTGTATATCACATAGTCTGGTGATTTTATTGTTGTTGTTGTTGTTGGTTATTGGGCTTGAACTCAGGGCCTGGGTGCTGTCCCTCAGCTCTTCAGCTCAAGGCTAGCGTTCTACCACTTGAGCCACAGTGCCACTTCTGCCTTTATCTGCTTATGTGGTGCTGAGGAATCGAATCCAGGACCTCATGCATGTGAGGCAAGCATTCTACCACTGAGCCAATTTCCCAGCCCTGAGATTTTTTTTTTAATAAAAAGGGATTAGAATAAAAAGAGGTATTTAAGATACAAGGAGGCTAGGAATGTGGCTTAGTGGTAGAGTGCTTGTCTAGCATGCATGAAGTCCTGGGTTCGATTCCTTAGTACTACATAAACAGAGAAAGCCAGAAGTGATGCTGTGTGGCTCAAGTGGTAGAGTGCTAGCCTTGAGCAAAAAGAAGCTTAGGGACAGGCCCAGATCCCGAGTTGAAGCCCCAGGACTGGCAAAAAAAAAAAAAGAACGAGTAAACTGACAAGTTTATTTGCTCTACATATATAATACATCCTTTAAGTTCTTTGACTGGATTCAGTGTTGAAAAATTCAGATTTCAAGTTTCCAAGGGGCCACATTGGCTCCTGTTCTACACTGAGTAGATGCTCTCTGTTGGTGAGACACTTAGATCAATAACAAATAATACATAAATATTAACTAAGCAAGTAAGACAAGTATGGTTCATTCCTATAATCCTTACTGCTAGAAAGTTGAGATTCAAAGTCAGAAGGACAGAAAAATTTGTGAGACTCCATCTTCAATTAACCAGCAAAAAGCTAGATTGGAGGCAAAAAGCCAGGCTAGATATATCTGATTCTGAATTTAAGCCTGGGTGCTAATACACACACACACACACACACACACACAAATTATGTAAGTAATTAAATAAGTAAAACAGAACAAAAGAGGCATATAATTTCATAAAGAAATTAGAAAAGTGTAAGAAAATGTGTCTGGGAAGAATGATGTGGGATGTTTTGTTATAAATAATAGCACATGGTAACTCTAAATAAGGCATATTGGGCTAAAAACATTCTCACATCCTGTTTGTTACTTAAAAGAGCACAGGGCACCCTTCCCCATCTGGCTTCTTGCTCACGGTGACACATAGGCAGTGTCCAGTTCTGCTGGGCTCACACGGCCACGGGCCAGCCAGTAGCATCACCCATGGCCCCCCAGCCATCCCCAGACGCTCTGGACATGGGAAAGGACTAGGTTCCCAGCAGGCCACTCCTGTTTCACACGGCCAACGTCTGTAGTTCCCCTTCAGGATGAGGTTTCTCTAAATGCATTACCATCTCTTGAGGGCAGAGGCCCAGATAAGAGGAGAGGCTGCTGCCAGGCAGGCGCTGATGACTCAGACCTATAATCTTAGCTACTCAGGAGGCTGAGATCTGAGGATCATGGTTCCTGCCAACCTGGGCAGGAAAGGCCATGAGACTCGTATGTCCACTAAACTTCTCAGAAAAATCTGGAAACAGTGCTGTGGCAAGTCGTAAGAGCACTAGCCTTGAGCAAAAGCAGCTCAGAGCCAGCGCTCAGGCCTTGAGTTCAAGCCCCAGGACAGGCAAAGAAGAAAAGAAAGAAGAAAATGAGAGGTTGCTAAAAATTCATCACTATAAGCCAGGCTGCAGAGGCTCAGCCTTGTAATCCTAGCTGCTCAGAAGGCTGAGATCTGAGCATCCCAGCCTGCCAGCCCAGTAAGAAAAGTTCACGAGACTCTTATCTCTAAAGTAGCTAGCAAAAAAACTGCTAAAATAAACTAGCAAGCAATGATTGTAAAAAGCTAATCAAATGCTGGAGGCTGGACTGGGAACATGGCTTAGAGGTAGAGCACTTGCCTAGCATGCATGAGCTCCTGGGCTCCATTCCTCAGTACCGCATAAACAGAAAAAGACAGAAGGGGCTGTGGCTCAAGTGGCAGAGTGCTAGTCTTGAGCAAAAGCAGCTCAGGGACAGTGTCTAGGCCCTAAGTTCAAACACCAATACTGACACAAAAAGAAAAGAAAATGTATAACCCTGCCTGGCCTGCTGTGAGCCACCATCCTCAACTCTCAGCCTGGGGTTACAAGTGTGGGCCACGGCCCTCGGCATGAGTTATTCTCTCTTGAAAAGTACCAGCTCCTGGCTCCTGTGGCCCCGGTGCCTTCCTTTTCCTCCTCTTCTCTGGGCACTTTTATGGGGACGGAATCTTGTATGTAGCCCAGGCCTCAAACTCACCACTCTGCAGCCCTCCCTTCTGAGGGATGGGCTTACAGAGGTGTACCCCATGAGTGGCTTCTTCTGAAAAAAAAAAATATTGTTTTTGTCAGTTATGGATCTTGAACTCTGGGCTTGGGCGCTGTCTCTGAGCTCTTCACCTGGAGGTGAGTGCTCTACCACTGGAGCCACAGCGCCACTTCCAGTTTTCTGGTGGTTTATTGGAGATAAAGAGTTTCACAGACTTTCCTGCCCAGGCTGGCTTGGAACTGTGATCCTCAGATCTCAGCCTCCTGAGTAGCTAGGGTGGCAGGTGTGAGCCACCGGCACCTGGCCTTTTTATTTTAATATAGAGTCTATGAATGTTCATTGCAGCTAAGTATATATGCATGTATATGTGTGTGTTTCTAAGTAGGGAATGAGCTGAATAAATTATGGCAAATTCATCTAATAGAAGACTGTGTCCTCATTAAAAAAAAAAAAGATAATGGTGCTTTTTATCATCTGATCTAGAAAGACCTGCATGACACATGAAATAAAAACGGTAAGGCACAGGAATAGGCATAGTTCCCTACTTCGTTGGATATGAAAGTGGGGCGACGGGCTGTGTTCCATGTCAGGCTCCTCCTGTCCCCAGAGCACTACCGACACAGGAAGTATGGCCACATGGCTGCCTGCAGGAAGCGAACTGGGTGGCGAGGACACAGTGACAGGGACGCTTTGGACTGCTTACCTTAACTCCTACCACGTGTGTGCACTTTTATCCCTAACCACAAAAGATCCCACTACAATTCAAGTCAGAGACATAGAACACAACAGAGAAAACAGGAAGTGTCATATAAAAGATACATTATTCGAAAACCAAGATTTTCGTTTGGTCACAGAGAATACAAGGTGACGGTTTGAGAAACTTGAAAGTGATAAGTCCAGGCCACACAAAAGAAACTGAAAGACCATCTACAAGAAGACCAACGTGAGACTCATGACTAAGTGGGAAACTCGCCAACAGAATCAGAGAAGACGCTTGCAGCACACGCAGGAGGCTGCGGCAGACAGAGGCGAGGGTCTCGCGCTCTGCCTCCGGAGTTCACACCTTTGTTGTTACGAGCCCTGCCCTGCAGTGTTGGTTGGCAGAGCCCCACGTTGCTTCTAACCAACAGGGGAGTGCTCCGTGGCGAGGCGTCACTCCAGTGACGGTGACGCACTGACAGCACGTGTCAGCAGAGGCACCAGAAAGACGCCTCACTGGCCGGCCATGCAGAAAGAAGTGCCAAGAAGGAGCTGACACATGAGAGGCCGCACGGCACGGAAGCGAGCGCGCCCGCAGGTGCCCAGAGAACTTCAATAAGAAACGGAGTCCGAGTCAGACGTGGTGTTCCACACCTGTACTCCCAGCTACCCAGGAGGTAAAAATTACAAAACAAAACAAGCCATTTGTGGCGGCACATGCCTGTGATCCCAGCCGTTCCAAGGCGTAGGAAGTAAGGTCACAGTTGGCGGTCAGCCCCAGAAAAAATGGGACATACTCTAAGAAAAGAATAATAATGAGCCATGAGCCGGACTCAGGTGGCTCATCCTAGCTACTCAGGAGGCTGAGAAGATCTGAGGATCATGCTTCAAAGCCAGCCCGGGCAGAAAAAGTCTATGATACTCTGATCTCCAACAAATGCCACTAGAAAACCGGAAGTGGTGCTGTGGCTCAAGTGGTAGAGCGCTCACCTTGAGCTGAAGAGCTGAGGGATAGCGCCCAGGCCCAGAGTTCAGGGCCCAAGACTGACCAAAATAATAATAATAATTGTTAGGTTTCTAAAAAGAGGTAGCTGAGTCAGAATAGCACCACGCACGTGGTATTCAGGTAAGAGGTAGGTTTATTTAGCAGACCTGCTGGGACCAGGCAAGGTTGGCACTCCACGCGGCTGGCAAAAGGCCTGGGAAAGAGAGCTGGGAGAGAGCTGAAAAAGAAAGAGCTGGGAAAGAGAAGAGAGAGCTGGGAAAGTGCTAGAAAAGAGAAGAGAGAGCTGGGAAAGAGCTGGAAAAGAGCTAGAAAAGAGAAGAGAGAGCTAGGAAAGAGCTGGAAAAGAGCTAGAAAAGAGAAGAGAGAGCTGGGAAAGAGCTAGAAAAGAGAAGAGAGAGCTGGGAAAGAGAGGTGGGAAAGAGCTGGGAAAGAGCTGGGAGAGAGAGTCTGGGCCTGGGCTAGCCCTTATCTAGGGTCTGGACAGAGAAAGGTGTGGCCACATCAAATTCAGATGTGACCTCAGCGAATGCAGATGTGACCTCTTCCAGGTGTGCCAGTTGCCTAGG